GGCCTCCGAGACCCCCCCTTTCTTCTCTCTCCCCCCTGACCGGGGACCGCCTTTTACCAGAGGGTCCACCGCCCGGCCCCCGAGACCCCGCCATAAGTCTTTATTGGCCAGAAAAGCCGTCCATCTGGAAGCGTCACACTGCCATTGGATGGTATGCCCGTCTATCAAGCCTCAAGTGCCCGCCCCTCCGCGCGTTCAAAGGACCATCCCCTCCTGGCGGCTAGGAAGGGAACAACTGCCTGTCTATCTTAACCAGTGCGCATGATGATTGGGTAATATCCCACCAAGTCTTCCCGCCTCCTTCCGGCCAGCTCCGCCTCGAAGCTTCCCGGCGGGCTCCGCGCTAAGCGGATATCAAGAAACTGAGCTGTCTATCACGAGGACGGTCCGCCTCCCCCTCGCTGCTATTGGCTGAGTGAAGTTGACGTTACACGGCTCCTACCCCATTCCCCGCAAGAGAACGGTGAAGAACGACAGGGGCTATTGGCCCACAAGGAGGCGGGCAGCGCTTGGACAGTAGCGATTGGCTCTCGGGAACGTCAGTCATCGTGCGCTGGCTTCTCCCGGCTGGAAAGACTTCAGGAGGAAATGGGGTGCGTGGGCGAGCTGTCGGGAAACACCGAGCCTTTGGAAGGTAGATGGGGTTCAGGTCTGGGGAGTCGTAGTGAGGTCGGTGTGATTTGCCCCGCCCTTGTACTGGACTGCGCCAAGTTCTGAAGACCTGTGGCTTTCTAGTGCTCTGCGGGAAACACCCAGACATGACCCTTTGTCTGGCCAACTCCTGCACGTCCATCACAAGCAGTTTGGACACCACCTCCTCCAGGAAGTTTCCCTGCATCTGCAAAACGTCCCTCTCTGCCTGAGGATAGATGCTAATGGCTGGGTTTGTGCACCTGCCTTTTACCTTTTGTCCCACCAGTGCTTTAAATTACCAAAGGAGCCCCTCCAATCCGGGCCTCCTCGTGAGGTATGCGTGCACATCTGACCTGCTTCCTTCAGACTCCGCACATTTAATTACTTTGTTTAGTGTGCGTGTGCGTGTGCCGAGACACACGTATGGAAGTCACAAAGCCACTTAGAGGAGTCGTTTCTTTACGCCATGTAAGCGTAAGAAATTGAGCTCAAATCATTTGCAGCAAGCGCCTTTACCATCTGCTGCACGCTGTTAACACTTATGATATCTGGTATGACTTGTGTAGCCTTGGGCCTGGAACTCGACATATGAATCAGCCTGCTTCTGACTAACAAGTTCTGGGATTTTTTTTGTTTTGTTTTGTTTTTTCGAGACAGGGTTTCTCTGTGTAGCTTTGCGCTTTTCCTGGAACTCACTTGGTAGCCCAGGCTGGCCTCG